CAGTCGGGCCCTCGCGGCTGGGTGGCGGCGCTCGGCTCGGGAGGATCCCCTCGTGGCGTCTTTAGGCGGCGGCGATGACAGCTCAGAAACCCCCCTCCCCGGTTTCTGGCGACGGCTGATGCCTTTTGATGCTCTGGGCCTTCAATGCGGGGACGGGACATGGTTCTGAGGGGAAGCTGGAGCCGACACGGGTGTCGGTCATGGCCATGGGCCACTTCTCCGCCTTCCCCTTCCCCCGGTCGATGTGGTCGCGACCCTTTTCGAGGCATCTTGGCCGCCGGCGGTTCTGGAGGTGGTTGGGGTCATGTATCTGGGCAAAGTCGTGGCCTTTGGTGTCTCCGGCGTGGTCTCATGGCGGGGCGGCAGCCCTGGCGGTGGGAGTCGTGCTGGTCGTGGGCGGATTGTGCGGCTCGGATGCGGGCAGGCAACCATGGCCGCTCGGGCGACATGGTTGTGGGTGGCGGACCGGGGTGACGACGGGGGAGTTGAAGCACCGGGGTACATCACCTACCCAGTCCCGCTCTGGTCGATGGTGACGGCGTCCGTGGACGTCATGTTCCTCCTTGCAGGCTCCGTCGTGGTGCGTCTACTCCCTCCATCTTACTCCGGGCGAAAACTTGATCTTCGGATCGGACGGTGGCGACGTTCATGCTCATGCTCTTCCTGAAGGCACCGTCATGGAATCCTCGGTCCGGCGTGTCCGTCGCACATCCTCCCGGACGGTCGCTCCTTATGGTGGTGGTCTCCGTCGACTCTTAACGGATCCTTTTTGCTCATCATTTTGATGCTTTGTGTCGTAGAGGTTGTGTGTCGGTGCCCGACATTCGTGTATCTTGCCATGGGTCTGTGTGGCGTGCGTTTGTATCATATGCTTCGATGCTGTATTTGTGCTTTATAATATAAAACGGGTGAAAGAACATGCGGTGCCCCCATGTTTGGTTTTGGCAATTGATGACAATCTCTATGGACTAATGGTTACCTTGAGTTATATTTGAAGGGTTTGTCCATAGGTTTTTCTTGGAGTCCATTTGTTGGTTTCAAGGAGAGTTTGTGATGACCGCGGTGCTATTAAGGAATTATCCAAAGATCGTTCATGTGAGTGTTGAGCTTATTGCAAGCATGTCTTGAAGAAGAAGATTGTGTGATCATTCATGTTTACCTTCAAGACATCATCCAAATGAAGAGAGTTGGAAAGATTCAAGGTTGATCTAGACTAAGTACAGAGAGTGATTCAAGTTGATCAACACACAAAGCGCACAAGTTGTACCGAGAGGGACCAAGTGTTCCCATGGTATGGTAAGCATTGTCCATTAAGCTTTGTGTACTAACCCATGGTCTACGTGAGAGTTCTTTGTGGGGTTAGGTATGTTTCCATGGTCTTGCGTCAAGAGGAAGATCCCATACAACCCATGGAGGATGACATCAAGTGGTGATCGTCATCAAGTTTGCAGTGTGCAAGTTCAAGTGGAGCAACACGAAGAGTGGCTCACCCATAATGGAGTATGGGGGAGCAATCAAGTTTGAATCTTGCCATCCATTGTGGTGTCTATGGACTTGTGAAGATGTGCCGAAGAGTCGCTCACCCATAGTGGACTGTGGGGGAGCAATCATCTAGTCTTCATCGAGCCAACACAATCAAGAAAGGTGGTCCAACTTGAGGGAGTCAAGATCGTCATCATCTAGCTCAAGTGGACCATGTGCAAGCAAAGGTTTGCCCTTGATAGGTTTTCTATTTTACCGGTCTCGTGGTGGTAGTTGGGAGACCGGGTTATAGGATCGTTTGCTGTACTATCAAGGGGGCTCTCAAGTTGGTAGCTTGATCGTATCATTAGTAGAGAGCTCAAACCATTGCATCCTTGCATCATGTTTCTTTGTTCTTGTTTTGTTCTCTTTGTGAGTCTTAGAGCTTATGGTCATCTTGATGACAAGCTTGAGTTCATCGAAAACGGAGTTCGCATGCGTCTTCTATGATGTTTTCGGTGTTGGAGGTTTTACCGGTCTTATCCAAGGAAGGGTTCTCACCATTTTCTTATGGGCCTTTTCTCATTTGCTTCTTATTGATATTTCTATCAAGATTGTGTAAGCCCTTGTTGCTAGCTTTCCAACAAACTTGGTTTCATCGAATTCGGAGCTCGTATGCGAAAGTTGTGGCTGTTTTGATATTGCCTGTTTTACATAGAGAGGTTGTACCGCCCCGTCGAGAGGTTGTACCGGTTGACCAGTACAACCGGTGTTTGGAGCGGTTGTACCGCTCGAGAATTGGTCCGGAGGTTGTACCGGCCCTGTACCGCTCTACCACCGGACTAGTTTCTGTTTTGGATCGGTTCTTGGGCGGTTGTTGACCGGTTTTACCGGTTTAACCGGTACTACCGGTTCCCCAGGGTGTTGTACCGCTTAGAGCTTTTCCCAGGTTGGTTTTTCCTCTACTTTGGCCGGTTGTACCGGTTCGTGCACCGGTTGTACCGGTCCTATAGCTTTCTGCACATAACGGGCAGATACGTGGGGACCTATTTAATGGGGTCTTCTTCCCCAATGGTTCCTTATCTCTTGAGCTCGTTTTTGCCCCCATTGTTGACCTTCTTCGAGCTTGCTAACTCTCAATCCCTCCATGGATTCTTGCTAGTTTTTGAGGGAAAAGAGAGAGGAGATCTAGATCCACATTTCCACCAATCACTTTCTCCTCTATGTAAGGGGAACCCCTTGGATCTAGTTCTTGGAGTTCTTGGTGTTCTCC